ATACGTACACCAGCACAACTACGGTTAGCCTGACGTAAGAAGGCCGATTAGCGTTCATTTACCTACCGTGGCTCGCTTATGGTGAACGACGGTCATTTACGGTTGTTGTCCCCAACATCAAATAGCCATCCAAGGTTTAGCGAAATTCGCGACATGCTACTGCGCGTGCAGAGACATGAATTTCTCTCTCACCTTAGTGGTGCGGACGTATGGAATTCTCGGCAGACAAGTGCTTTAGTGCTCATGGCTCAGCTGAGAAAAAGCTTAACCTCTAAAGACACACCGACATTAGGCTGTTGCTCAACGAGCGAGCTACAACGTGTTTCCGACTGTCAGCTAACTTCGCGCTGAGTGAAGGTCATGGCCAACCGTAGGCGTTGGAGCGATCGATTGTTATCTCCGTGTGTCTCGCTGGCTACGCGGCGAAGTCGGCTAAGGCGACCGAAACTGCAACGTGCATGTGCGCACGTGATGACAGCTCAGCTGAGGACGAGTTAGACATTGCAACTCTTGCCAATGTTATTGAATCACAAGTAATGGAGCACGAGCAGACAGTGCAGTCGGGATCACGTAACGTTCCTGTTACTCAGCGCGCGCTGATTATGCGGCTGTACGGTGAATGCGCTTTAAACGCCGCATCAGCTTCAAGCAAATACAATGCAATGAACGCAGGAATGCGTCCCGTCACCGCCCGGCACGTGTTTAAACTAGTGAAGCAGTTCGAGCAAACTGGGAGTGTGTGAGACATGAAGAGAACCGGACCGCCTCGCATCACCACGGGCGACTGCTCAGCTTGCGCTGTAGTCAGTGAAGTGTCAAAAAGTCCCGATCTCAGCATTCGTCGGATCGCACAGCACTGTGACACGACCCGATATGCGGTACATCGGATATTACTGGAACGAAACTTTCAGAGATTCCGTGCATTTCAAGAGCAGGTTTTGTACCCACGCGATCCGGAGAAGCGGCATAAATTTTGCCCGCTGGTTTCTGGATCACGGGGGTATTCGTTCTGTTATCTTTACAGATGAGGCATTGTTACATCTGCATGGAACAATGAAACATTACTGTTGGGCTACCAGCAACCCACGAAAATTTACCGCATCACGTATGAACCACAGTGTGAAACTGATGGTTTGGGTCGGATTAACAAGCCAGAAAATCTTCGGCCCATATTTCTTTTCCGGGAATGTGACCGGTAGGTTGTTCTTTTGAAGTACTAAAGCCTTATCTTTTCCTAGCATCGTCGTATTTAGAAATGCGGCAGACATTTGCGCTTCCCCAGTTGGAGGCTGAAGGGGCATACAGTATCATTCGATGGCAACAGGATGGTGCACCTGCACATTCTGCTAAAACGGTGCGTGCATACCTCACCGACACATTTGGCCACCATTGGATCGGACGCGGTGGACCAATGGAGTGGCCTGCTCGCTCACCAGATTTGAACCCCATGGACTTTATCTATGGGGCTATCTGAGGCGACGAGTGTACAAAACAAGGCCGCGTACATCGGCTCAATTGAAAGAAAATATTGTGAAACGAATGTCGCGCGATCCTGAGGGATACATTGGAGAAAGTGCTCGCCAATTGCATCAAGCGGTTTCTGCATTGTAAGCAGAGTGCCGGCGGACATTTTGAACATATCCTTCACTAGCATAGATGATCGTTCCAATGATTTGGCGGCGTCCGTATCCGGAGTTGCCTGTCACTGTGACGTCCATGGGGACAGTCACAGGACGCCTGCGCCTACAGAGGGACCATGGGTGGCTTGCGCTGCACCACCCATAGTTCCATCCACACACCCCATATCCGGTGTAAACCCGAAGGAATAAGACCGGGAGGCATGCGGATGGGAGCCACGTTTCTCAAC